TCATTATTAAATAAGCTTATCTATAATTATCAAATCCTATATATATATAAATAAAAATAAACAATATTAAATGTGATTAATATTTATAATGATATGATTGAAATACCTTTCTAGTCAATCCAATCTTAATATTTTCTAGTGATCTTAAATGAAACAAGTGCTTTAATAGTATAAGTCTATTATTTTCAATATTATTCAATACTATAGCTATTTTGATCATAGCTTTGAATAACTAATTTGACGATTATGATATGCCAATTATAATCAGTTCAAGTATTTAACAATTACTTCAAAAAAGATGTTCTAGATATTAATATCTTAAGATTCTAAATTAATAAACAAAAATAGTTATAGCGAGAATGGTTAAGGTGAGTTTACTTATATGAATGTTTATTAAAATTTTGGAGTTACTCTTTATGTGATCAAATATATATATAATATATATAATATTATAAATTGGCAAATTTTAAATCAAATTTTAATATAGTTGAATAATAGGGATGTGGAAATAATATCATCCAACTAATTCATAGCTATTCATTTAAATCTTGCAATCAATACTCTAAAATAAACAATTTACAATATTTTCATTGTTTGGTAAATAATAATTCAACAATAAAATACCTTTTCTTTTAATAATTATTCTTCGAATCATTAGATAATTCTATAATAGTTTTAAATTCTAATACTATCTAAAATTAAATCTTGTTATAAATTAAATGTAGAAATTAAAAGACTTATAGATAAAGTTAATAATTCTCTATTAAATGCAATAATATTGTTAATTAGTTATGAATTAAATAAAATTGTTGAAAATTCTTTTGGGTTTGCTTGTAAGAAGAAAAATATTCGAATACTTACAAGCTCCAATCTACTTTTTAACATTAATAAATTAAATTTTTTCTTTTCAATAGTATTATTCAGAAAAAAAAGTAATAGAAATTCAATTTTTATACTATTAACGTAAATGACTTGCATTTTTGGGGAAAAAAATTATTTATGGGAAGTGTTAGCTCTATTAAAAGATATTGATGTTTAAATATTGTGCTTTATAATTGAAATATTTAGAAGAGAGAAAGTCTAAGACAGCCTTGAATATCTTGCAAATGAGGTAAATTAAAAACATTTCAAATAATATATATTACAAGAAGTTAACTTATCAAAAGTAGAATAGGAATAGAAGTCTTGCACTTTAATAGATAACATTAAGTCAATTACTAATATTATGCAATTACTTAAAGATCATGACTTTAATAAAAATGATTTTTCAGATGCTTAAAATTTGATAATTAGAGAAGATATAATTAAAAACATAAAATATGAACAGAAGATCATTGAGGTTTTAAAATTCTTAGTTCACCTAACCGCTATAGATGAAAAATTCATCTAATGTGGATCAAACTCACTAAGTATATTAGTTGAAATGAAGGTTGTTTTGAAAAAACAATCTTTTGATAATATTAGGATTAAAAATACTTCTTTAATTGGAGCTAATTTTGCCAGATGTAATTTGAATGGATCTGAATTTAATAATGTTAACATTAGTGGAATAAATTTAAATGGAGCTTAATTAATAAATTGTAAATGGAACAAATTAACAATACATGAGTTACATCAATTAGTTAATCATTCTAGTAGTGTCAATTCAATACGCTTTTCTCCTGATGGTACTTTATTAGCATCTGGCGGTGGAAGTCCTTATACTGGTTGTGATTGCTCTATCCGTTTATGGGAAGTTAAGGCAGGAAGATTATTATTGAATTTATAGGGTCATTTTGATTATATTCAATCAGTATGCTTTTCTCCTGATGGTTCTACATTAGCTTCTGGTAGTGATGATAAATCAATCCGTTTTTGGGATGTTAAGATAGGATAATAAAAAGCTATATTGTGTGGTCATACTAGTTGTGTAAAGTCAGTATGCTTTTCTCCTGATGGTACTAAATTGGCATCTGGTAGTGATGATAAGTCAATCTGTTTATGGGATGTTCAGACAGGATAATAAAGAGCCAAGTTGTGTGGTCATACTAGTTGTGTGAATTCAGTATGCTTCTCTCCTGATGGTAATACATTAGCATCTGGTAGTAGGGATATGACAATTCATTTTTGGGATGTCAAGACAAAAAAAAAAAAATTGAAACTAGATGGTCACACTAGCTATGTAATATCAGTATGCTTTTCTCCTGATGGTTTTACATTAGCCTCTGGTAGTGATGATAAATCAATCCGACTATGGGAAGTTAAGTCAGGACTATAAAAGTTTAAATTAGATGGTCATAGTAGGGAAGTTTTATCAGTATGCTTCTCTCTTGATGGTATTACATTAGCATCTGGAGGTAGAGATAATTATATCTGCTTATGGGATCTTAATACTGGGAAATAAATATCAAAATTAAATGGTCATAGTTGTAATGTCTATTCAGTATGCTTCTCTCCAGATAACAATATATTAGCATCAGGTAGTGGGGATAAGTCTATCCGTTTATGGGATGTTAAGGCAAGCCAAAACAAACTTTAATAAGATGGACATAGTGATTCTGTCCAAACAGTATGCTTTTCTCCTGATGGTACTATATTAGCATCTGGTAGTCATGATAAATCTATCCGATTATGGGATGCTAACACTGGAAATTAAAAATCGATATTTTGTGGTCATAGCGGAATTGTATATTCAGTATGCTTTTCTATTAATGGTTTTACATTAGCATCGTGTAGTAGTGATTAGTCTATCCGTTTATGGGAAGTTAACACAGGGAAATAAAAATTAAAAATAAAGGGTCATAGTAGTTGGGTTCATTCACTCTGTTTCTCTCCTGATGATACTAAATTAGTATCTGGAAGTAGTGATAACTCTATCCGTTTATGGGATGTTAACACTGGAAAATAAATTTTTAAATTAGATGGACATAGTGATTATGTATGTTCAGTATGCTTTTCTCCTGATGGTACATCAATAGCATCCGGTAGTGACGATAGTACTATTTGTTTATGGGATGTTAAAACAGGAGAGCTAATATATTCATTAGAGGGTCATTGTAATTCTGTCACATCAATATGTTTCTCTCCTAATGGTGCTATTTTGGCATCCTGTAGTTTAAATCGCTCTGTCATGTTATGGGATGTTAAAACAAGACAACTAAAATCTAAATTAGATGGTCATAGTAAAAGTGTTTATTCTGTATGCTTTTCTTCTGATAGTACTACAATAGCATCTGGTAGTAAGGATAAATCAATTCGTATATGGGATGTTAAGACAGGACAATTAAAGTAAAAATTAGAGGGTCATTATGATTCTGTACTGACATTATGCTTCTCTCCTGATGGTACTACATTAGCATCTGGTAGTGAAGATAAATCTATACGTTTATGGGATATGAGAACAGAAAAACAAATTTAGCCCTCGAATAAAAGTTAAAAAGAATTTATTATTAAATTTCTAAAAGACCTTTCTTATTCAGAAGGTAGTATTTATATTTATTTCATTTAGTTTGCACTAATATTACAATTCTTCTTATATCCAAATATCCAGTATTTTAAGCATGTGGAGCTTTAATCTTTTAGGCTGAATTTATAAATCACTTAGGTATAGATCTAAAATAACTATTAAAATAAAAAGGAAGTTATATTATGTAAAACTAGTGGAAAGAAATTATAAATTGAAAATAATCAGAAAAATTTTACATATAGATTATTGGTTTAAATTTTTTAGAATAATTATTAATGTAAATTTTCATTTATCAAGTTTAATTCAGTTTTATTTTATTTTAATGTTGCTAGCAACTCTTTCTTAAAATTACAAAAAAGAAAAATCTAAGGTCTTCTAAGTATTTCAATAAGAAAATGACTTATCTAGAAAAAAAAATATTATAAAAGCCTAATTAATAGTGAAACAAATTAATTATTTATTTATAAAAAATTAAAAATTAAGACTTTTGGTATGTATAATAATCTTTGAATTAATATTGATTTTTAGAAATACATTAATAAGAATAACGAAGGCGAAAACAGAAATAACAGCATCATAAGATTGTTTAAGGAGAATTAAGTCTAAAATTTGATAAATAGCCGACACAAATTCTGATTCCAAACCTAGATCCACATTCAGAACATGTTTTAAAATTTTAACCAAAATTTTCATCTGTCTACCTGGATTTCAAATCCAATTTGATTGAGAAAAAAATTTATAAATCAATACAATTATTTAAGGCGATTTACTTTAATATTTTTCAAGGGACTTATCTCAAATAATGCCTAAAACAAAACTTGAATCCTAATTCAATCCTCCCCCAAGCAAATTGGATCTAAATCAGAAACATGTGTAGTAATTTATTGTTAGGGTGAGTTATCTATAAATCTAATTCATATCAACAGGGAGACCTAAGGACCTTAGGAAAAGTAATAAGCTTTGAAAGAGGACAAATTTATCTTACATGCTTTTTTATTTTAGAGCATTATAAATATAAATTATATAAAATATCAAAATATATTGTAAATAATTTAGGGTGGGAATACTTTTTATAGTTGGATCAATAATGGCCTATTGTCCATGCAAATTTTGAATTAGCATAGTTATTTTTTCTAAATCAACAAAACAAAATAGCTCAGACATTACTTCTTATGCATTAAACTCACTTTAATAAACATCACTTTTTTAAAAATCGTAGATTTTGTGGAAAAAATATGAATGAGGAAGATTATTAGCGCAGAAGGAAGAAAGTCATTCTATAATTTATTGGAATGAATATAAAAACTTACAATTTGGTAATAGAGATGAATAATATGAACTGAAAATTAATTATATAAATCAGCAAATTTAATTTTTTATAGCTAGATTGTAAGATTACTATCATTAATTTAAAACATTTTTAGCCTTCATTCTAAAAATGATTAAATTCCATTTTTTTTTTACAAAAAATCTTTTGCAGTTTTAATTTTGTAATAAACTATTATTTCTATATTTAAAATTTGATAAAATAAAAGTACTAATTTATGCAGGATTTGAAATGTTGTACATACAAAGGAATTAAAACGGTTTAAATATTTTAAAGAGATTACTAGAATTAATACTGTATTAATTAATTGGTAATATCAAATAAAATTTTTAGGGTGGAATG